GCAACAGGACAAGCTAAGAGCAGGATCAGAGCCAAGGAGGAACAAATACCCTTTCCTGTCCCACAGTAGCAATGCTGCGCTCAGGACAAACATGGCTTTACTCACCTTCGTGGGGCACTGACTTTCCTCTTCTCCTGAAGCTACAGTGCAGATTTACAGATGTGATCTGAATCAAACCAGTGAAACTTGTGCAGCAAGTGGTTAGCGCCAAGCCACAGCCAAATCCAAGAGACAAACTATCATTACCAGCCAGCTAGAACTGCCTGGCAAGCACAGAGAACTGCACACAGCCAGATGTATGAAAACTGGTGACAGAAATCATTTAAGTATCAGTGTGATGGAAGGTTTAACTCATTTTCCACCCATAAAATACCAAACCACAGCATTTGTAATCTCACCACGCACAAGTTCTTCCTGGAAAATTTCTAGCAATATATCATAACTTAGATTTGATGTTCAATGTGTTTATATCTTTCACGGAACGATGAAATCAGATTCTAACTGGCCATTTTAGGAAGCCAAACACAGCACTTGGGTGTTTTGGTCCTGTACTTTTTTGTTTTAAGCACCTTACAGGTTTCCTTCCTGTCAGCCAGAAATTGCTGAAGCCCCAAGCTGCAATCAACAATGACGAAACAGCTTCCCAATTTTGGTCTGAACAAGATGCAACGTTCCCTTCACAGCTGTCTTCCACGAGCAAACTGTTCAGTTTTGATCTGATGTATGGCATGGCGCTGCAGTGAACCCGCCGGGCAGTCACCTGCTGCAACATCAAGACATTATTCGGTCATTTTTTCTCTTTTCTGCAGTCCCACTTACATCAGGGTCCAGCCACAAGGAAGTAATACATAAGATTTCCCCCAAATGAGGCGATTTTCCTTTCCAAACACACTCAGACTGCACTGCGTACACAAGCTTACAGTTTTGCTGGGTCATCTGCAGCTCATAATTCTTTCTTGATATAAAGTCGCAGCCACGGGCTGGCAGGGAGAACTGCCTCGAGTCCATGCCCTTCTGACACCGGGGTACCTCTGCTCCTGCTTGCGTCCTTACAGCCGTTGTAAGGACACGGTTTGTAACCCAGACCACACCAAAGACAATGCAGGCACCCGGCTCAGAGAAACACCTGCATTCTGCTGCTACAGCTGTCCTTTCCCCTCCCCTCACACTTGTTATTTTGCCTCTGTTAACAAAGGTCTCTTCAAAACACCAGGTTCTTCTTAAATGGCGCTTAACCCTCCGGTGCAGACTCAACACGTGCCACAGAGCATTCACAGCAAGTGAATTAGAAACTCCTCCAGAGCACAGCCAAACGTCACCTTAGAACGTGATACATCTGTCCACTGTAGGAGAAAAGTTCTCTTTTCCAGGGCAGTTTTCACTACAGCCGGGGTTTGAGCAGAGAAACTCAATCTGTTTAGTGAAGAGCAAAACACCATCCAGTACTTTTTCCAAGACAGCGACAGGAAGAGCAAAACTCTCTAAGATGAACAACAGCATTAAAGCTGCAAAGCTGTGTGGAACTGATTATAGGGTTAGGCCAGTAATAACAACTGAGCAGCAGAAACGCGTGCCATTTATCATCCCAGAAGTTACAAGCTTCGCTGGATCCAAGCCACCTGCCCTCACTGACTGCTGCGGATCCCTTGCGTCAGCCCCACAAGTAGCAGTTAGCGAGCTGTTTGAATCTCTCACATCAGAGACATCCCCACCTCATCCACGGGGCTCCCCCGCTTGCGCCAGAAGCACGGTGGCTTCTCCGCACCACCAGACATTTAACACAATAGGGACTTTGAGGAGACCTCGGAGCATGAAAACCCTTTAGAAGAGGCTGTGGTCATTTCACGTACATTTATTAAAAAGACAAAAAAAAAGTACATTTTTTAAGTGGAGCGCTTGTTCCACAGGTCACAAACTCCATGCTGCCCACTGGATCCTTCCTGCACAGCCTAGCGAGGTCTATGGCACCATGAAACAGCAGCCTTCCTCCAGCCGCCGTTGTCCTTGTCGGCTATCTCCAAGAGAAACTTGTTTTCTCCCCCCAGAAATTGAATTTTTATTTTCCTCCCTTACACACGTACACGGAGGAAAGCTCACTCATGGGCCATTCCACCCGCACACCCAACGGCCAGCCCTGTGGAGCCTCTCGGCTTCCAGCCTCCGCAGGCAGCCCCTCGAAGGGGGCCCAATTCTGCCCCGGCAGGGGGGAGGGCTGGCTCCAGTCACGCTGAGCCGTCCCTCCCTGCAGGGCGGCCTGCCCCTCTGACTCCCAGCAGGCACGTAAGGGGTTTTCGCTTTCCAAAATAAGGAAAAAAGGGTGGAAATGAGATCACAACACATTAAAGTATTTTTCTTTCTGCAAGAAACGCTCTAATTCATGCCTGCAGAGTAGGCTTGTGGCCTGCTGAGGAAAACAGAAGCGCGGATTTGAAGCCTCTCCAGGATTAGTGCTGAAGGCTGCGTGCTGAGCTCTGCAGAGGTGAGGGGTTTCTCGTATTTCCGAGTGAAACACGGACCTGCGCTTCCAGGTGCTGTGTAAGCGTCTCCTCGGGACTCCCACGCAGCCCGCCAGCCGCGCAGGACGAACCAGCTCAGATCAAACGGAGGATCAGAGCAACGAGCTGCCTCGGCAGAGTCCCAGGATTTTGCAAAAGGGATTAAATTCTTTCCCAGGCTTCTTGATATGGTTTTGGGCAACTTTTGCGAGCTGCTGAAGGCGGACAGCAAACCCCGGGACCACGGGGCCAGGCGGGGGGCCGGGCCGGGCCGGGCGCGGCGG